AACAGTAGTGAAATCCAAAGCAGCCCTGTTGCTCTCAAACTCTTTTACAGCCTTATCAGTAATCCAACACAGATTCTGATATGCCCCTTTTCTTCTTGCCAAAATGCCACCCTCCCACAGCCATGAGGGCACCACCTCACAGGGCACTGCAACAGCAGAGGAACTCACAGTGTGGTTGTAACAACTGGGAGAAGGGGAACCATCATTGTGGGACCAGCCAGCGCTCTGCCACGAGCAGCCTGTACCCAGATGAGTACCAGCAGTCTGGGACCAAATACAGAACACTGGCAGGTCTTTATTCCTTTCCTTAAAGAGATCCCCCAGCCTGCTAACAGGTGGTTTCCCACACTCAGTCTTTTGCTTTTCTATCCGCTGTTATTAATTTAGCAAATTCACAGTATTGGAAACCAGACAAGCTGATCATTTTAGTTTAGTTGCTACAGCTCGTTTGCTGGGCTAAGGATTTAATCACCTTGGGTGAGGATGATCTAACCTCACATTACTTAACTCAAATGTAACACAAACAACATGTACTAGTGCATGCCAGAAAGCATCCTCCCTTTCACCCCTCATAATGGTGGACTATAACATGAAAGCTTCATAGCAGCTCTCTGTGTGTTACAGAAAACTCATGTAGCCAGGCTGCTGAACACATGCACAACTTGACAGACACTTTCATTACATGTGCCTTCATGGAAAACCAAACTACTCAGCTTCCTTCAGACTGCCCTGCTGAAAGAGTTAGTCACAAATTAAACAAAGAAATGTTATTAGAGACCCTTTATGGTTTTTCATTTTGCACAGAAATGATTATATATGTAGGAAATTAACAGACAGTACACGTGTTCAGTCTGTGTTGTACACATGGTCCAGGTATAATCTCTCCATCAATATCAAATGAAATGAAGAATTACATATTGGAGATTTTTAATAAATTCACATGACCAAAATGCAGTTTTGGCTGCAGCATCTCTTTGTAGCTATCAGGGAGAATCACATAAGAGACAAATAGGGATTTTAATTTTCACCTATTCCTCCTTCTATTTTCCCACTCACGATTTCTCATCTGACAACATTCTTGACTGTGCAAGAAATAATCTCATCCAAATAGGTTCCACCAAGCCTACCTGTAAGAGCTGCAGGTCTTGAAATGTAAAGATAAGAAACAAACTGTATTAAATTTCTTACCAGGCAGTTGTCAGAATTGATAGCAAGCGAACAAACTCGTCAAAATACACGACATATATGTTTGTTTGTTTTTTAAACTTGCTACCTCCGAATATTTTCATTCCTAGGAACAGAATGTGTTTTATGTGAAGTTATATTGGGACCGGAGAGAAAGACATCTGCTCATGCAGGCCAAAGTAAAGGTTTTTCGCTCCTCAGATTCTTCAGGACACTGATCTAGCGATCCAACCTGTGCCACAGCCCCCTCAGCTCCGTGTCACTGCACGCACATCGCTCCACATGCAGCGCGGAGCTAAACTCCCGGTGAAGTCGGGAGCAGGTTGGCCGGGGCGTCGAGACGCTCCAACACGCTGCCTTTCCCTGCGATTCGGAGGTGAAACTTCGGAATATGAGTTCACGAGGTGAAAAACAACAAAAGCCACTCAGGAATGCGCTAGCGCCCGGCTTTCCTCGGCGACGACCCGCGCCAGGAACATACCAGAGCAGTGCCTCCGCACACACTGGGGAGGATTACTCGGGCTCCAGCTCGCCGCTCTACTCGCAGGCGGGCGAGGCTCGCACAGCCCGGGCTCCCCGCCGGCACCGCCGGCTTCCGAGCGCCACGTCGCTGGCCCCTCCGCTGTCCCCACGAACACGGTGGAGCCCCCGCGCCCGGCCGGGAGGGTAACCCGGGCCGCTCCCGACCACCACCTGTGGCTGCTCGAGGCCCCTCGGCCGCCGCACCGAGTGGACCTGGCACCGCGGCAACCGGCCCGCAGGCAGCCGGCCGCTCTCGGCGGCCGGACCCGCGCTCGCCCTCAGCCCCTGCCGACACCTGTAGAGGCGTCGAGGCGGGGGCTGCCCGCGGGGGACCTCGTCAGCAGCAGAAGCCGTGCCCCGCAGCCCCTCCCGCAGCGCCCAGAGACCTCGGGGGGCACTCCCCCGCCGCCACCCTCCGCCCCGGCGGGCTGTCAGCCCCGCTCACCTGCCACGGCAGCGATGTCCCGGAGCGCCGCAGCCCAGAGTCCCAGTACGAGGAGCCGCGGGATCGCCATGCTCCGCTTCAGCTCCATCGCTCCCGCACCACCATCCTCCCCCCTGCTCCCGGCGCCGCGGGGGGCTCCCACCGCCCGTGCAGGCAGCGGTGACGGCGACAGCGGCTGGGGAAGCCCCGCGTCGCCGCCCGACACCGGGCTCGCCCGGGGGGCTACGGAGACGCTCAAACTTCTGGCCGCGGCTCCGGCCGAAACGAGCCGCAGGAGAACCCGCCGTGAGGCGACGGCGGGGGTCCGTGGGGTCGGGTCAGGTCCGCTCCGGTCCGGTCGCCACCGCCGGGCGATCTCCCCCTGCCGGCGCGCAGCCACCGCGGCGCCGCTCGACACGTCCGTCCGTCCGTCCGTCCGTCAGTCCCTACTCAGCCGCCGCCGCCTCCTCCAGGAAATGGCGCTCTCGAGCGGTCACCGCGCGCTGTGCTCCCCCTCTGACATCACGCTCATGAATATGCATGAGCCGGGCGCCCACCGCCCCCCAAGCGGCGAATCACGGCGCCCGCCGCCCCCGCCCCGCCGCCCCGGGACGGCTCCGGGGCTCGGAGCCCCCGGCAGGGTGGGACGGGCCGGGGCGGGAGCGGCAGGAGACCAAGGAGGTGTCTGGAGGCGGCGCCCCCTGAGGGCTGCTCCACAGGGCGGCCTGGTTTCCAGAGCGCAGGGAGGGGGTAACCCACATCCGCGGGAGCTGCCGGGGCACCGGTTATCCCCCTACCTACCTGCGGAATCAGAAGGCCACCCTGGCCCCTCAGCACCCCCCGCGCACCCTCCAGCCCCCCAGGGGAGAAGGGCTTGGGGCCACCACCGGGGCTCAGCCCCCCCAAACCAAGGCTCTGCCGGGATGAGCGGCACCCCGCCTCATGCACACAGCACCTCCAGCCCCATCTCCCCGGCCGGCCCTCTCCGGCTCCTTCCCCCGACCACGCTCCCCTCACCGTTCGGACCCTGGCTCTGGGGATACCGGCCACCCCTGTGGACCACCCCTGACCTGTGGTGGAGCACCGGCAAGGTGAAGAGATCCACCCGTGCCCTTCGAGCAGGATCGGCTCGGCCCTGCCCTCTTTTCCGCTAGTGGAAAAGTAGGGAGTAAGCTGAGGAGGGAGATCTCTGCTGCCACGGGGTTACTAGCACGGCGTGGAAAAAGTCACCTACAGTTTTTTTTAAAAATCTGGCGCTGCCTTTTCGTAGGAAATCTGGGTTGAAAGGCGCCATAAGGAGCAATATCGTTACAACACGATGCAGCTTTCGGCTCTGCCACAGCCATCGGTGAGCAGCACTTGCCTAGCAGCTCCTGCAGTATACTCTGGAAAACTGGCTAAACGGAGGAGTGCAGGCAAACTGCCTTATCCCCAAGAGGGGAATGGAGAAACTGAGGCAGGACAGGCTCACATAATTCCATTCCAAACTCTAATCTTCACTCCTCCCTCCCCCAAGTCATTTACATTTCTGATAGGAATTCCTAGGGGACTGGAGCAATGCCAAGATTTCATTACTGGAATAGAAATGTCACTCCCTCCCCAGTGTCTCCTGCTGCAATGAGGCGGCTGGGAGGAGACACTGACAAGCCATCCGTTCGAGAGCTTGTAGGAAGCCTAGGTGCTCCTGGAGACAGGAAATCGTGCCATGCCTCTCTCTGGGATCACGACAGCTCTTAGGCTGAGAGGTTCTGCACTAGTGCTTGCTAAAAGCTTCATGCGCACTTGCTGTCACTGCTGTCTCTCCCCCATGTATCCATATATACCCATCTATCCGGGTGCACGGTGTGTTTCTGCACTTACTCATGGCAATAGCACCTTTCAGAAAGAAGCTACTTTTGCAGACTTTAGTTGCCTCATGAGAAAAAATAATGACCATTAGAATAATGTCGTGTTTCTACAGTGATTTTCTTCTAAGGATTTCTTCCAGCCTTACAATTACAGAGGCTTACAGCACTACGCTGCTCCCATGGGCTCAGGAAGCACTCCAGTGTGCAAGCAGGAGGGAGGAGGCACAGGCAAGTGCTGTGACTTGGCCAAGCCCGACTAGGAAGGCATCAGCCGAGGGAGCATTGACTCCACATGGTGTGCCTGGAGCATGCTTCTACCTTGACAGGCATGTTGTGCTTCATCCAAATGTCAAATGCAATGCTCCCAAAGGCTTGGGAAGGGGTTGGAGAAGGGAGCTTTTATCTGTGAAGAGGAGAGTACCCAACAGAAAGCTGTTGTGGCATGGCACAGGCCAGCCTCTGGGCTAGTGTAAGAGACCAAAGGTTTGCTTGAAGCAGCAGACCAAATGGAACCTTCCCCATCAGGGGATCTGGCTTCAGCTCTTCCGAGAAGGGCTTTGTGCTAACAGTGATAGGCAGGAAGAGCCATATGAAAACTGGACTGAAATCCTGCATGCACTGCCAGTTGGAGTGTAAACTGCAGTCAGAAAACTTATGGAGGATTATTACCATGCAGAAATCAGAGGAACTGGTGAGTCTGAAATGCTTTTAGGAACTAAAGACAAGTCATCTCTCCTGGCCTCTTGTGCCACAGAATTAAGCACCATGGCTTTGTTCTATAGGCCGTAACATCAGTGACGGAGCTCACTGCTCACACACACAGAACACCACTGATGCCTCCCTGGGTCACATCCTTTCCTTACTTATTCTGTTTCGATATCGTGTTGCCACATCTCACCAGCCTTGCTGAGAAGCATAGGCACATTCTAGAAAATGCCTGAAGAGCTGCACAATAATCAAGTGGTGAATTCCCACTTCTGGGAGAAGATGAAGGACAAGGAAAAAAAAAGGAAGGGGGGAGAGAGAGAAAAAGCAGAAGAAAGACAATATTTGCTGGACTTCCTCACTTCGTTTTACTGTTCAGCCTCTTCTAATTATTAAGAGCCAACAGGGCATCTGGGACAGGTTATCCCAGTGAGAAAGCACTCCCAAACACCCATTTCCACATGAGAAGCCATAGCCCTAAAAGTTCAACAAAACCTGCTGGTGCATGCCACCACTCCATTGTCAAAGTAGTCAGTCTGCAGTTGGATACAAATTCCCTGTGTGTTGTAAAAGATTTTTTCCATAGCACTGCCTCGTTTGCACTCTTATTCAAGAATCTGTCCACTCCATCCTCTGACTTGGGATTTGAAGAGCAGTGTTAATCCCTATGTTGCTAGGGAGCAGATCCCTCATTCTGCATCAGGAAGCTGTGGCAATGGCAAGAGTGATTAAGAAGTGGTAGTGAAGGGCTGCTAAAATACAGAGGTAATTCTGCTGTACAGATGGTTATTCAGGTGCTTCCTGAGTGGGAGATCTGTTGAAGCCAGCATATTCAGTCCCAAGCTAGAACAAGAGCTGCTCACAACTTCTTGGTCACCACCAGAGGCTACAGCAAGTCACAGGAGAAAGCTCTGTGTGTGAGAGGGCTTTTGCAGCTTAGGGATAGCTTTTCAAATAAAAACCCCAAAGTTGGGCTGGAACACAGTGGTTGCAGAAACAGAAAACCTCAACTCTTTCCAAACCCTGCCAATGACACAGCTCAAGAGCTACTGGATAATACAGTGGCTTTTGAGGACCCAGAAAAGGGTTAAACTGCATATAAACTGTCTCAGTTCTCTGCCCAATCCATCCTAATAGTGTGACTGCCAGAGCTTGTTCATGTCAGATAATAATACTGTTTAATGTGGCCACTTCTGAGGACCCCAATATAACTCTCCATCTTGGAATACATATGGGACAAAACTGGCTATCCCAAGACCTTGGGTATGGTATTTAAAGACATGGGTGGCTGCGGAAGCAGCTCACAAGACGGCTGAAACTCATCCTTCCTGTATCGGGGCTAAGCTTGCCATAACTGAGTTATGCTGCTCATTTGGGAATTATGTTAGCTACAGCTGAACTCTGTTTTCCTTTAATTTATATTATTCTACCATCTTTTCCTTTCTTGTTTCTTGTCTTCCTCTCTACCACCTTCTTCAGTAAGCAACTGTGTTGAAATGTTCCAGCCTCTCTGTTTTAGCCTCCTCCAGCTCTTACATCTTTCATGTGTGCTGGCTTTATTGTGTGAACAAAGTAAGGACAGGGAACCATATTAAAGACTTGTGTTGACTTCGTCTTCGGGATAAAAGGATGTCAGGTATGAGTCTGAGCTTTGAGTTCAGGCCTGATCCTTTCCTAGTTCCCAAACTCTCCCAGCCCTCCCTGGGGGTGGCAAGTGGCACAGAGTACATGGGGGTCTAGGGACCACTGTATGGTGGATCAAAATTTGGATTTTTCTCTAAGTTTCAGTGTTATCCAGTTTGGCCCCAGCCCAACCATAATCATTACCCCAAGCCCAAACTTGGTTTTTCCACGTGTCTGGGATGGTTATTTTTTTAGAGGTGATAAACTATCACATCATATGTGTTATCTATCTTTTGTGATAAATGCCAAGCTGTCAGAATGAAAATATCACATAAATCACACATGAAGTATTTACATTAAAAAAGATCAACTCATAAGAATTTAAACAACCTTGCTGATGGTTCCATCATTTGCAGCCGATTAGCCAGGCATTGCCAATGTTTCCATTTCTGGGGTTGAAATAAACACAGCACATCAAAAGAGAGTCATAAAACCAAAACAAAATGTATTTAACATGGTGCAACAGTCAATGCCATAAGTATGGAGACTTACATATAATCTACACATACTAATATGACTTTACAAATCTCATATTGCATGTTGATCCACACAGAACAGACCTGGGAGGAAGCACCTGTTGCCAGTCCCTCTGGGGGCTCAGTTTCTTACCTACTTGTAAGTTAGGGTGACACAACACTTTGTTTTTGACAGTGACCATATTGCAATTGTATTGCATTCTCTTGCGAGTCAGAGTGGACAACAATCTCCACCAGCCATGTGACAAAATGGTATGGAGCTTGCTCAGCATATGACCATCCCTCATGGGTCGGAGGTTTGGCAGATGCGAGGTCCCTGGTGGGTCGTCAGTGTGGCCACAAGTTTCTTGGATCAGTCCCTGGCTCTCGGAGGGCATCCCACAGCCCAGAGTGCAGTGGGTGCTCTGCATAAGGTGTCAGGACCAGACACCTTATGGATTTGGAATGGCTGGGACTAATTCTGGAAGATGCTATACCTGCTCCAGGGGAAGCCTTGTGGGAAGAGCCTGGAGGTCCAAGCAGGACTGGCCAGTGGGGCTGGCTCCCAGCTATGCTCCCTGCCCGGGGCTGGGGTGTCACTGCATCTTGCCTGGGAAGGTGGCAGTGGGCTAGGGGCCAAAAGCCCTCCCCAGGGCACACAGAAAGCTGAAAGATAACGTAGAGCAGTCCGACAACTGCTGTAATAGACACTGTGGGTGGAAGAGCTTCCTAACAGCTCCAGACTCTCTGTGGGAGGGTTAATACCATATTTACCTTTCCCTCTCCAGTCCCTCTTCCCTTGTCAAGCCTGCACTGCGCTGAGCAGGTGGTAGGAGTGAAACAACCACAGACCTACAGTCCTAAAAATAGTGGCACTAACAGAGCACTGATCTACATTATAGCTCTCAACGATTGCTAACAAGGGTGGAGCTGGACAAGGGCAACTACAGCTGGAAACACAGCAGCGTCTCTGATGCAGACCAGGCAGGGCAAGGTGAGCAAAGGGCATTTTGCTTTATTGGTGTATGTCACGGCTCCTGGAAGAAAGTCCTTAGCACTTCTCAGGGGCCTAATAATTTGTGGCTGTGTGAGCAATGACATTTGTGCTGTGACAACCTTATTTTTGTCCAATTACACTCTTAAAGATATCCTCACTGGCAAAACCCCAGAAAAACCGGAAAGCAGAAATAAGAGAACTAAAAAAAAGGAAGATGAAGGTAAAGCAAGAGGAGGAGCACATGAAGAAAGGAGAGAAGGAATGGCAGAAGAAGAGGAAAAAAGTTTAGGGAAAATAAAATAATAAAAAAAGCACCTCATTTGGGGTTTGCAGGAGGTGACTCAGCGCCTGCTGATCTGAATTCTCCTTCTGAGTTGACTCTGGCTGGCTACGTGCCTTGCACCTTGCTCTATCTGAGTTTCTTACCTTGCAAAGCATCCAAGAGGGCAAATGTACTGGCAAAGCACAGGCTTTAAAAATCTTCCAGCAGCCACAGCAGTTAAAGGTGACTGAAACGTAAAAAAAGACTGCAGGTGGAATGGGAGGAGATGCAGGGAATCGAGGAGTAGAGAAAGGGGAGGAGTGAAAGAGTGAGAGGAATGGGGAACAAAAGACTAGGGAGACCAGCCAGAGGGGGAGAAGCTCTCGGAAATGAGGTTATCTGTTGGTCAGAGTGAATATGTCCTCTTGCTGAAGGGGGGAGAGCTGAAGCTTGTCCTGCTGACCTGCTGTGGAGACTGATGCTTGCAGGCTCCCCACTGGTGGCACCTCTGAAATCTGTGTCCTGGGGGAGAGAAGCCAAATAACCACGGAGACCTGTCACAGAGAGGTTTCTAGACAGGAGGAACGCCTGACGTAGAAATGCCGCCCATCGTGCCCCTCCGGCCTGTGCACAATCAGGACAGGGAAGAACCGGGCATCGTGGTAGGTTGGGGGGCTCTCGTTGACAGCCAGCTGGCTAGAGTAGGAGCAGCACTGCTCATCCTGGCAGCCCCGCTCTGCAATGCTGCTGCTGCGGCTCCTCCAAAGGCCTGTCCTGTGGGAGCCGTGAATGCGGCAGAGGGAAAAGCGGCTGGTGTTGAGGGAGAGGCGGGAGTTGCCGCTGCAGCTGTGGAAAGCATGGCGTGAGAAGATGGAGGAGGTGCTGGAGGCACGGTTGCAGCGGTCACAGCCATGGGCTGCCTCGCCGTACCGACACACTGTGTAGGTGTTGTAGGTCGGGGAGTTGGCCAGGTCCATGAGCATGGCTTCCGAGTAGCTAGGGATCAGCTGCCGGTTGGTGCAGATGTGCCACTCCAGCTCGGTGCTGTCCTGCGTGGTGTCTCGGGGCATGCGGTACCGGTACAAGGGCTCCTCTGCCGCAGTGGGGGCTGTGTATTCCAGGCCCAGCAGCTTCTCCACGTGGTAGTGGACATAAGCAGTCCGATACTCTATGAGTACCCTGAGCGGCCACGAAATCATCAGGATAGCTGCCACCCAGAAAGCATAGTGGGACACATACCACGGGAGGTGATCCGGGTCTCCGTAGGCCATCATAAGCTCCTTAAAATCCACATTTTTAAGTTGCATGCCTTCCCTCACCTCCATGTAGTCATCCAGCCCCTCGATCTCTGTGAAGAAGTGAGCTCTCTGAGTCAGGTAAGAGTTCTCAGACTCAATGTTGGCAAAGCTGAAGCACTTGGTGAACCTCAACTTGGTGGCTGTATGGCTCTCCAAGCCCAGGAGCTCCTTGGAGATGTCCTTGTATCCACAGTGAGAGTAGTCAAATTCAGCTTCAGCCACATGTGTATTGACCCTCTCATGGTAGACCTGTGTGGTGGTGTAGGCATCGCCATTGCGGTACCGGGTCACCTGCCGGGTTCGCCGTACAAAGTGATAGCTGATGGCCTTCCACCAGATGCACGGAGTGGCTTGCTGCATGCGGTTGATGCACTCATAGACACTGTCCACATCTGCCTTGTACTGCAGCTCTCTCTTGACGTGGCAGTGCCAGCACTCCACCAGGTACACCACATACAGCATAGAGAGGAAGGCCAGTGGGATATAGACATAGCCATCTGAGCACGGGCTGTCATGGTAGATCATGGACTTGCCCTTGAAGGAGCTATCGAAGCTGAGCTTGGTGACTCGGGCCAGCTGACACCAGGCCACTGCACCCAGGCAGCCGTACATGAGGATGGAGAGGAGGAGGCATTTCCAGTGGGACTCTCGGCACATGCAAGCACTCAGGGACTGTTTCACGGGGCGTTGCTTCAATCACACCGCCGTGCAAGGGGAGAGAAAGACAAAGAGAGAGCGAGGAACCCGTCAGTCAGGCCGCTTTGCACAACACACACAGTGACTGTTGCCTTCAAGACCGTGTCTGGCTTTGCTCTCAAACTGTCTGACTGGGACACCACCCTATTTAATATAAATGTGCATATAAACAGAAACACCCTGCCAGGGACAGAGGGCTCTGGACAAAGCTCCTTCCTTGCTTCCTCATGGCGCTGGGGAGGGAAGTTGTTTGTGTGGCAGTGACTCGCTGTACCTGCACCCCAATCAGATGGGCCCCTCTTCAGGGGGCAAGATAGGTTACCATCTCCTTCTTCCTGCCTGGGGCCAGCATCATTTACACACCCTGCCATCTTTTGAGATTGAGAGGGCTTCACAGCAGGTGAACAGCCAAAAGCGTGGGGCTCTGGACTTGCCCCATTGCTTTGTAAGTGCCCGGTGCCTAGGTGCCCATGTGTTGCTGTTACAGAGGCTCAGGAGCAGCATCCATTGCAGGGCTGCAGCCCCACAGGTTGTGCCAATACAGGAGGACCAGCACTTCATGGAGCTAGAGCTGCTGCCTGACTCAGAGCTGACTCACACGCAGCACTGAAACCAACCAAATGATCGACACCATTTTCTTGGAGGTGAGCCATCAGGAAAATTACTAGATTCAAGCACATTTAGTTGGAAAAATTGTCAAGATTACAGCACGATGCAGCATAGCTTCAGGCTGGTTAGAAAACTAGCTCTGACCTATAATACCTGAAAGATTAAGTCTTGGAGCTGAGAGTGTATGTGTGAATATTTAAAATGTAGCACATCCCTCTCTTTCAAGTTCCAAAAATCAGGTTGCGAGTAGAGCCAGAGTTCGCACTCCTGTACGTCCACTTCGTCCCCTGAGACAGCGTGATTGCAGTCCTTATCCCAGCCCTGGTGCAGTACATCAGCCGCATTGTCATGCGATGTTCAGCTATATGAAAAATGCCAAATCAAGCCAGGCAGCTAGCGGAAACGGAGTTGTCTCCCAGCAAAGAGCAGCAGCAGCATGAGTTACATTACTGGCTGGCAGCTGCCTGTCTGTAGAAAGTGCATGAAGAGAGACACCCTGCTGCCCTAGTAGGTAATGAGGAGGGCTGTCTGCATCCGTTTTGTTACTGCCATCCTCTGCCTCTCCCCTAACTGAGGAAATGACAGTGAGAAAGCAGATACACACTGATACTCATGCATCATTGTGCCCTCTGCTGAGCCTGATTTCATGCAAAAATAGAAGCACACAGTTACACCTTCTCCCAAGGGACCACCTCTAATGCATCAAACTGCTCCATAGATGCCAACAGATGCTAGGTTCAGGAAATGTCTTCTTTTTGTTTCTCCACAGAGAAATTTCTCCCCTACTAAAGCTTATCTTGGACCTACAGCAGTTAAGATTCACTAAGTGATCTTGAACCAGCAAGGAATTTAAGTAGCAGCATCTTATGACTCAGGAAATAATAGCATGGAGCCACTAGAAAGAAGAGTTTTCTGTCCTCTCAATGAGATGGAAGCACTGGCATCTAACCTTGAAGGGCTGTAGAATCAGATTTAATGCTGCGGCTTTTTTTTTTTCCCTGAGACAAAGAACCACTTCTAAGGAACTATATACAACTTGCTATGAACACTGTAAAACTAGATTTCATGGGGTTTGGTTTGGATTTCATAGCTTTTAATCTGACACTGTGGAAGTGCAGAGCAATTTTACTGATTTTAGGGAGCTGCATCAGTATTCACCTGCAGGGACTTAGGGAAGAATCTGGCCCCTGATTCTTCCTGATGCATCCAGAAGAAATCTGGCAAGAATTTCTATTTTTATTCCAAAATTTTTTATGTATCTATGTGCCAGAATAAAGAATGATTCTTCTGAGCTGTATTCCCGGTCGGGGCCCCTCCCCGGGCAGATGGAGCTCGTTAGCCCATAAGGCAATCCATCTACGTCCCGAGGACCTCACTGCCACCGTCCAAGCGTGCTTGGCCCCGGCAGATGAACCTCAGGATTAAAGGGTGGGCTCAGTTCCGCGCACACTGTGTCTCACCTAAAAAATCCAATGCGCAGGCTGGAAGGTGGAAAGACCTTCCCCGGTTCTTCGTTCGCGAAGAGACTGGCCATTATTATTCTGGCTGCTGTATTCTCTTTACAGCAGGTACAAAAGGTGGAAAGAAGCTAAGTGTTTTATAAAGTACAGGCTTCATAACTTCTGTAGGTAGGGTAGTGGAAAGACCTTACTACGGGTGAGAATAAGGTTCTTTTTTCCTTAGCTGTTTGCAAGTAAACCTTGAAGAACTCCATGAAGTGGTTTCAGGCAGTCCCTAAATCAGCTGAAAAGTAACTGTAGAAGTTTTGGGAATGAATCCCCAAGTCTGCATGCAGCTATGGAGAGTTTCATCTCTTGAAACTCTTGTCAAATGTCCACTGCTCAGTCTCTGTGTGGTTACTGTTCCAGTGTGGGCTTCTGCCCCAGCTGTACCCTGAACTCCACATATGAGCATCAGGCTCGCCTGACTCATGGGAAATCCACTTCAAATTACTGGTTTTTTGTTATTTGTCTCTTCTTGACATGAAACTAGAGTTTTTCAGTGCTAGAGTAATGCAAAACCATGAAGAATTGCAAAGCTCTACCTTTTTTTTTTTTTTTTTCCCTGAAGGTTTTTTGAGGTGAAAAAAACCTCTAAACATTACCATTTCTCTACTCCAGGCACTGAGACTATGCAGCAGAAAGCAGCCAGGCAATATTCTAATACATTACTTCATGTTCACATTCAGGCTTTCACAGGCACCTCTCATGTAAAATCGCTTACGGTTAATACTGTGAAGAATGCCAGTAGACCTAGCAAAAAACGCCCAGCAGTCAGTTTTAATGTGAGTGCTTAAGAAGTCCATGCAGCTCCAGGAACCCCATGTTCTTCCCTGACTTACTGAAAGTGCTGTCAACCTGTCCCTGGGCACAGCCATGGGAGAAGGCTGTCCCACGTCAGTTACAGCACTATTTGCCAAAGGCACTGCAATCCCACCTTTCCTTTATCGGACTTTCCTTAACTAACAACTTCTCTGCGGCCCAACCTCCAACCCAAAGGTTGGCTTCTGCCCAAGGAGTGATTCAACCAGCCCCGCTGGTTAGGGCAATCAGGGGCTATATCAGAGTGGGCAAATACCTCCTAATGTGCTTATCTCTGTGAAACGCCATCTCACCTCTGGGGGATGAGATAGCTCTGGTTTCACCAGTCCTGGGGCAGCATCCAGCTGGGTTGGCAGTAGCTCTGAGGCTTGCAGGTCCAAGATGATATTTCTGTATGCATCCTCTGGAGGCACTTCAAAAATGGTCTTCAACCCACTGCACTGAAAGGGCTGAATCAGCCCAAGGCAGGTTTTCTCCACTGTTTTCATTGCAGCCTGTAGAAAAGGCAGCTTCTCTTGTCTTTGTATTACGGAAGGCATGCAGCCATAGAACCCACTGCCACATCTGATTCACACACCTAACCGTCCAGTTCAGCAGGACCTTCACGTTCAAAACCCTTTGGTGAAAACACAGTCTTTTTCTCCTGGCTCTTCTGACCCACCGTCTCATTCCCACCATTGTTCCAAAGCAAATCTCACTGTCTGGAAGTCCTCCATTACAAAAGGATCTCTTTTCCAGGATCTACCTCCCAGCTGTCCCACCTATTTTAAGTTCTGAACACATTCATCTGGCCTATATCCCCTTATTTCTCCTTCCTTTCACTGAAATATTTATCTAACACAATTATGTATTAGAAACACTACTGGAGTGTTTGTAAGAAAGACATGCAATAGAACATAATTACAATAAAGGTATCAGACGTTCAAAAATCTAATAAGTAAATATATCTTTTCATCTGTCTCTGCATAACAAAATCATTAATATATTAAGCCAGTGGCTCCCAGACTTTATTAATTAACATACCACCTTCTTGCAAGAATTATGTTTGTGGTACTACGTGAAATTTTCTCCTTTCTATGCATAGTGTTTCAGATCAAAACAGGGCAAGCTTGTATTTCTGGATGAGTACAATAAATGCTTAAGGAAACTAGCAATTTCCATGATAACTTGGGCCAGCCAGTGAGCGGGATTTGAGTCCTCTGAGGAATGTTGTGGAATCCGTGTTGTTTTGATGTGGAATAAAAGCATAACCTCTGGAAAATCTTAATAGAGAAACATAATTGAAGAAAGCAAAGACAGAGAGCCTAACAGAAAGCAAGAATCAAAACCAGAATAGATGGAGGCTCAGTCACCAGGCACTTTTTCCATGAGCCAGCACTTGCAGACTTGGGAGTCTAACACAAATCAATAGAGGTGTCCTTCCTCTCCTGCTTGCGGGGGTTTTCCTTAGGGCTTTGCTTCCAGCATTGACCTGAGAAACATTCGGACAGATTAAATGAGACACAGGTTGCCGAAAGAAGTTGTGGATGCCCCATCATTGGAAGTGCTCAAGGACAGGTTGGACATGGCTTTGAGCAACCTGATCTAGTGGAAGATGTCCCTGCTCACGGTAGAGGGGTTGCAACTAGATGGTCTTTGAAGGTCCCTGACAACCCAAACTGTTCTTTGATTCTACAACCACGTATTGTGAGGAGGGATGGATTTGTCAAATCAAATGTTTCACACAAAAGGTCCCAACCAGCTGTCATGATAGTAAAATTTGTAAAAATCTCCTGTTTTGGAAGGAATGCTGTGAAGAAGCATAGCTGAGCTGTCAGTATCATTGTTTATGAATTTCAACTTGTGTTAAAAATAAACACTGTAAATAACATCTTGCTATGCTCTGGCATGCTGCTGAACCACTTTCAGAGGCCTCTCTTCTCATTGCACCCGACTGGATTGGAAATTCCTCTTACCCAAACTATCCATAATCACATGCTAAAATTCACTTTACTTTTTCACACTTAAAAAAAATAATCAAAAAATATTTGCCAGATTCTCTAGTAGACCTCAGCATGAATGGGG